ATTATGAAAGAAGTGGTAAAAAAAGATATATTACAGTGGTTGGATGCAGGTATTATATATCATATATCTGATAGTGTCTAGGTTAATCCTATTCATTGGGTTCCTAAAAAGGCAGAGTTACTGTAGCTGTAAATGAATAGAATGAATTAATTCCTAACAGACATGTCACTGGGTGGAAAATTTATATTGATTACAAAAAATTGAATTTAACTACTAGAAAAGAACATTTTCCATCACTCTTTTATGGATTAGATGTTGGATATGCTAGCTGGTCAGCAATATTTTTATTTTATAGATGTATATTCTGGATATGATCAAATACTTATAGCTCCAGAGGATCATGAAAATACTACGTTTACTAGTCCTTATGAGACTTTTAATTTTAGAAGAATGTCCTTTGGGTTATGTATTGCATCTTCCACTTTCCAAAGGTGCATAATGTCTATTTTCTGTGGCTTGATTGAGAAAGGGATAGAAGTTTTCAATGATGATTTGTTAATATTTAGAACTTCATTTGATTCATGTTTAGATCATTTAGCAAGAAGCTAAAACACTGTGAAGAGACTAACCTCATTCTCAATTGGGGGAAATGTTAATTTATGGTCGTAGGAGGAATAGTTTTGGGGATAAAATATCTGAACATTGAGTGGACGTAGACCCAAAAAAGGTTCAAGTAATTGTAATACTACCTCCACCTACCGCTATAAGGAGAGTTGAAGTTTTTGGGACATGTTGAATTCTATAGGCGATATATAAAATAAATTTCAAAAATCACTAAACCTTTATGTCAACTTTTAGAAAAAGTTGTATTGTTTAACTTTAATCAAAATTACCTAAATTACTTTAATTTATTAAAAGAAAAAATTATTTATCGCTCCTATTATAGTTTCACCTGACTAGGGAAAACCATTTGTGTTGATTTGTGATGCGAGTGATTATAATATTGGGGCACTTTTAGGAGAAAGACATGATAAAATTTTTAAAGTTATATGTTATGTTAGTAAAACTCTTAATGAAACTCAAATTAATTACACAACTACTGAGAATGAATTATTGGCAATAGTATATGCTTTCGATAAATTCAAATCTTATTTAATTGGAACTAAATATATTATTCATATTGATCATTCTGCTATTAGATATCTTATGTCAAAGAAGGATGCTAAACCAAAATTAATTAGATGGGTGCTTATAATACAAGAATTTAATATCAAAGTAGTGGATAGGAGAAACTCTGATAATCAAATTGCTGATCATTTATCTAGGTTAGATAAAAAAATTACAATATTTATGAAGATGAAATCAATGAAATTTTTCTAACGAGCAACTTTATTACTGAGTGAAATATTTTATGGTATGTTGACATAGTGAATTTTATTTTTAGTGATAGTATACCCTATAGATTATCATATCATCAATAGAAAAAGTTTCGTTCATGTTGCAAGATGTTACTTTTGGGATGACCATATTTATATAATAAGTGTAATGATCAAGTTATCATGAGATGTGTACAATTAGAAGAAACCCATTAAATTATTCAGAAATATCATGATTCTAAGTTTGTGGGACACTTTGGTATTGATAGAGCTGCATTTAAGATATTCCAATCTGGATTTTCTTAGCTAAGCGAGATGAAATGCCCCTAAACTTTACTTTAGAAATTGAGATTTTTAATGTTTGGGGTTTGGACTTTATGAGACCATTTACACCTGCACTAGGAAATTTGTATATTCTGATTGTTGTAGCCTATGTCTCTAAGTGGATTGACACAACATCTCTACCTCATTGTGATGCTTAAAGGGTTGCAAAATTTCTGAAGAAAAACATTTTTAGTGGATTTGGGATGCCGATAGTAATTATTACGGATGGGGGAAGCCATTTTTAAAACAAAAGGATTAAGACATTAGTTGCAAAATTTGGTATTAAACATAGGATAATTACAACATATCACCCTCAGACTAGTGATTTAGTTGAGGTTTCTAATAGATAAATTAAGAAAATATTGGAAAAAATTGAGATAATGTCCGTAGATTAAAAAATCCATAGTTGAGAGTTGCATGAGCTGGGATAATGTATGTAGGCTATAGAGGCTAGAGTTGAGAGCTATGTGAGCTAAGACAATGTGTGTAGACCACATAAGTTGAAGTTGAGAGTTGCAATGTCTGTAGGATGCAGAGGCCATGAATGCTAGATTTAAGAGTTGGATGAGTCATAATAATCTCTGTAAGCCACAGAGGTAAGAGTTTAAAGCTGCATGAGCTATTATAATGTTTGTAGAACACAAAGGTCAGAGTTCAAAGCTTCATGAATTGTGTAGCACATAGATTGTATTTGTTTATGTAGGCCATAAGGGGTAAGCTACAAGATGAGAGCTTCAGAAGTCCAAAGAAAGTCAACATATTTTGAGTATGGTAGATTTAAGAAGTTACTATAGAGTACGTTGTTATACCATCTTCGAGAGGCATCATTATACCATATGTAATGCACATTGTTGCAGCGTATGTAGGAAGTGAGTTGCACTATCTTCAGAGTGAGTCCTTAGATTATCTTTGGATCATGTAGATACATTTTATTTTGGGTGAATCATTGTACTACTTTGTATGGTGCTATATTACTCAATAATGTACACAAAATTCTAAAACATACAACATGTTTCTGTAACGAGCTTTGTTCCAATGAACCAGAGCTAGCAGATGGTGGTTGACAAAAGACTAAGAGTGGTGGTTGATGGTAGTCTATGACTGTAGGGGCATGTGACATTTGCTAGACCTTCAATGTGGAACACTGGACCTCAAGTCCTCCTCCAATTCTCGAGATTCATCCGATTCAAGGTCTAGGTCCCCTCTCAAGAGGGGATAGGGCTCTATTTATAGAGTATGAGGGAGACCTCCTTGCAAACAAAGAAGGAATCAAGATTACTCGATCGGATAAGCCAAAGGGATTCTCTCGATCAGACGATATTTTATAGACATTTGAATGCCTTAATGATCTCAAAATTGAGTGATCTTAGGCTCATTGAATTCGTTTTGTTGAGAGGCTCAATTTGATTGTAAGCTTGTCTGATTTGAAATTAATTTGACTTTCCAATTAGACATTAAAAGCATCTAAGAGTTGCTTATCAACTTTGATTCAAGCTTAATTTGCCTCACATTGGATTAACTTTGGTGCCATTGAGTCCGTCTCGTTGAGCTAATCCGTTTGACTATAAGTTTCCTGAAATCCGAGTTATGAATGATTTTTTATTGGGGTTTGAATATTTCTTGCTAAAAATGCCTCAAGATTTGTGTTAATTGCCCCGAGATTCATGCCAAATGATATATTTATTGTGATCGTAACAATAATATATTTGAAATAGTCTAGCTATTTAATTTATTGTAAAATAAATCAATGAGATTAATTTTCTTATTATAATTTGGAGTAAAATGAGTTTAATATAAAGCTCAACATCAACACAAACGGTGACTGAACATGAGTAGGTGATTGGGTGGGCAACAACAAGAGGTAGCGGTGACAACTTGTGGGGTGTATTTGAAAATAGACTAGATTGGTCAAGTTTTAAAATCGCCAACAAATGAACTAAACAATGAGTTTCAAATACATCAAGATTTACACTACATTTTTTCTTTGTTTCATCAAGACCAATCACCAAACCGTTGATACCCCTTGCAAAAGGAATAAATTATTGATAAAAAAGCAAACCAAATGACTGCTAAACTTACTTATTATCAAGCTAATCTCTTCTGATAATTATTAAAAGAAACTTATGAAGATATAATTTGCATTGAGATTAAATGTTAGAGGAATTGACAATGCATCATTGTAACTAAAGAAAATGACATATTGACTAATAAGTCGCTCATCTCTACTTCACATAGATGTTCATAAGTGTAGATATCTTATTATCAAGCTAATCATTTAAGGGCCTCCATTTGTCACATTTTTTTTAATTAATTTGACTTGAGCCAAGTTTAAATTTTTGGTTTATAGTATATATATATATATATATATATATCACCCTTGAATCAGCACAACTTATTATGATTATAATAGTTTTTGAAGGCCAACTAAGGAACTAGTCCAAATGCAATTGAGCGAGATTTAGATCTAGTCCAAATGGAATTGAGCGTCAAAATCCCGCCAAATGGAAAGGCGCCAAGGGATGAATGAAAGGGATTAACCTTGTTCATCGACGATTTTGCACCAGAGAGCAGAAGGGGGAGAGAGACGTGGTAAGAGTTTTAAATATTCTCCATTAATATACTTTTTCAACAAGGGAGATAGACATCCCGACGATGCCTTTTTAGCAAGCTCCCTTCAAGGCTCATAGTTCTCCTCATCTTCTTCACAAGACTCATTTATGTCTTTTTCATAGAAATTTGTAGGGGACAAATGGAGGCACTTATATTTCAAAATTATTAATATTAACTGTAATATTTAATTTGATTTAATAAAAATTTTATGAACTATTAATTGATAATTAATCATAAAGTTAATTTTAGTTGGTTATAATGAAAAAAAAAGTAAAAATTAATTAAAACTTAGCATTTAAACTATTAATATACTATTGAATATACCTCTAATTATATATGGGTAATTTAAATTTTATTATATTAAGCTAATTGATATTATTTAATAGTTTTCTTTGAGATTATAACTTAAAATTATATTAAAATTCAAAATAGAAGAGAAAATAGCCCTAAAATTAATTAATAAAAATGTCATGATTCATATTTTTATGATCATGCTGCTCATCATCAGCCCGTCCTCCCATCCTCCTATCGAAAGCTCACAGGAGCCAGACAAGCAGTAGCAGCTGAGGCAGAAGCCTGTGGGTGGGTGGCGTCAACTTATAAATCATAAATCTTTTATTTTATATATAAATTTACCATTTTTTTCGCTACATCTGTAGCCATCTGTTAATTTTTTTTATTTTCCCTTCTGCCCTTCTCAGTCCTGATAAAAAGACGAGAATTTACCATTAAAAAAAAAAAAACCGAGAGAGTGGGGCTTGTGGGCAAGCCAAGCGCATTCCAAACGGCTATAATTGAGGTAGCAGAGGAGAGAGAAAGAGAGTCGATGCTGAGAAAAATTCATCTCTTGACGCTATTTATTCACAAAGATTTGAGTTTGCCCAGAGAGTGGTGAAGAAACTGAAGGGACAGCTAATAAAATAGGGATTTTGAGGAGGAAGAAGGGGGAAGAGGGAGGTTGGGTGGTCCGGCGGTTGCCGGGTGGAGCAAAATCGGAGGCCGTGCCTGATCCGATCTGCGAATCAGGTTGATTTCTTCTCTGATTGTGAAGGAGAAGAGTTTGCTGCTGATTTAGGAACTGGAGGAAGGTGTTCGCGATGCAAGAAGGAAGCTATTACAGTTCGAAGAAGACGGATGATATCTGCGAGGACGTTTGCGGCTCAGTAACTTCTTTGCTTTGCTATTTACATTTCTATTTCGATTTTTCTCGATTGTATTTAACGCAGATCTGTTGTTTTTTTTTTTTGGTTTTTTGGGATTTTGATCGCAATTGTGGCTTGTGAGGAGATTTAACGCTGTTTATGCTATAAAGCCCTAGAATGCTGGGGTTTTGGTCGGCTTTGTTCCGCTCATTTGTTTATGCATTATTTTTTAGTCATCGGGTTTCATGATATCCTCTTTGCTATTTTTCTTTTTTTTGGAAAAAAAAAAAAAAAAAAAAAAAAAAAAAAATCTACTTTTCACTGTGATTCTTAACCCTCGATTCAACAACTTATTCTACAATTTTACCCTAGCAGGCTTCTAGGGTTGCGTTGAATGCCCGGCTGCGTTGCATGCTTCGTGGATTTGATTACAAGGCTCTTTTGCTTCTATTCATTGTCTTACCACTCTTCATATTTGGTATATACTTACACGGCCAGAAGATCACTTACTTCCTCCGACCCCTCTGGGAATCTCCTCCTAAACCGTTCAATATTATTCCACACTACTATCATGAAAATGTGTCCATGGAGAACCAATGTAGACTACATGGTTGGCGAATCAGGGAGACTCCAAGGCGTGTCTTTGATGCCGTTCTCTTCAGCAACGAAGTGGACATCCTTGAGATTCGCTGGACTGAGCTCCACCCCTTCATCTCGGAGTTCGTTCTTCTGGAATCTAATTCCACTTTCACCGGACAAGTAAAACCCTTGTTTTTTTCCCGGAATCGAGAGAAGTTCAAGTTCGCAGAGTCCAGGCTCACTTATGGTGTTGTTGGTGGAAGATTTGTCAAGGGGGAGAATCCTTTTGTTGAAGAATCATACCAGAGAGTGGCTCTGGATCAGCTAATCAGGATAGCAGGAATCAATGAAGATGATTTATTGATTATGTCAGATGTTGATGAGATCCCCAGTGGACACACAATTGATCTTTTGAGGTGGTGTGATGACATTCCTGATAAGCTTCATCTGGAGCTTAGGAACTATCTTTATTCATTCCAATTCTATCTTGATAATAAGAGTTGGAGGGCCTCAGTGCATAGATACAAGCCTGGAAAGACAAGATACGCTCATTTTCGCCAGACTGATGATTTGTTGGCAGATTCAGGATGGCATTGTAGCTTCTGCTTCCGCTACATTAGTGAATTTGTTTTTAAAATGAAGGCTTACAGCCATGTTGATCGAGTGAGGTTTTCTTACTATCTTAAGCCATCAAGGGTTCAGGATGTTATTTGCAGAGGGGCAGATCTCTTCGACATGCTACCAGAGGAGTATACATTTCAGGATATAATTGCAAAGTTGGGTCCCATTCCCAGCTCTTATTCAGCTGTTCATCTTCCTGGTTATCTTCTTCAGAATGTTGACAAGTATAGGTATCTTGTTCCTGGGAATTGCTTGAGAGAGAGTGGCTGAATGCCATACTTTCTGTAGCATATTTTTCTCTTGCCAACTTACAGGACAAATTATTGGAGAACTGGGAGATGATGATGATTCTTCTGAGGGGAGCTTGCAAGCATGGGTGAGTACTTGTGTTTTGTAATGTTTAGATGTTGAGTTATATTTGAAAAATTGGGTATATTTTGTGATGCTGACGAGGAGCATATTCATTTGTTCCAGCTGCTCTATGGGTTTATGGCCGGGAAGTTGTTATTTCTTTCATCGCTTACTTTTTTGAGTATGCCATGTTACTCAATATAATTTAGAGTGTAGATCAAATGAAGTTTTCTGAATTTTGCAACATGGTGATTTATTATTTTCTTAAAAACTAATTAATTTTTGTTTTTTTGTTCCAACTGCCTTGATCCTTCATCAACTCTTCCATTTTGCTTTATGGTTTCTTTTAGCTTTGTTTGCTTGTTGTTTTGATGATTTTGTTTTAGGAGTTTTTGTCATTCCAATTTCATTTGTTGAAAATATTGTATGTTCGGTATTCATGGCATGCTGTACTAGCAGAACTTGTGTTCGTCCTAATCTCCATCTTGGCTTACAGTATTATTTTGTCATGTGATTTGCATTTTATGACAAGAACTTGCGTTGTTGAAGTAGCATTGGTTTTGTGATGATATATCTATATTGGAATCGAGAATAATCAAACATATTCTTGTGATGTCGACAAGAACTTTCTGTGCTTTTTATGTTTGTGGAATTCTTAATTTGCTGCTGTGTTACCATTGTCGTAGCTATGTCACAACATAAAATCTTACATCATAAGTTTCTCACAATTATTGGTTTGTCATATTAGGCTTGGTTTTCTGATGTTATGACATATGTCCATGTAGATTATAACTGTTTGATTTTTAAAACCTTTTTTTGTCAAGATATGTAAAAGAAACACGACATAATCCTTAGTAAGATTTTGTGTTATGAAAGTTGTTACTAGTTACCTGTTTCTGCTTTAGCTGCATAGATTTTCATACTATTTTTTTATTATGAATAGTAAATAAATTATATGTTTAAACTTAAATATGCTTGTAATGAACCAAATGAATGCGTGGAAAAGACAATGAACTGAGATCAGGTTCATCATCACTGTACTTAACCCACACAATCAAGGTTGGCTTTATTAATTTTCCTCGGGTCTGTTTTTTTGAGTGTTATATGAGTTTTTAAGTCATTGTCTTGAAAGTCTTGAAATTTTTTTTTTTTGGCCAAACCAAGTCTGTTACCTTTGTTCCACAGCTCTTTATTTTAATGTTTAAATAATAATTTTATCTACTTATTTTATAGGTGTATCTTTTCCACTTTATCTTATATGTCCAAACCACATTAATCTATTTTTTCTTATAATACAGTTTGTTAGTCTCATTGCAGTTATTTAACTCTAGATATTCCCCATTCTTTTTTGACTCAAAAGCAGTTCTGTCAACGTCCGATTCTATGAGAATTATACAATCAAGATACTTAATCCTGTCATTTTACATTTCAATTGCTCTTTTTCCAACAATAACTGCTAATTGTCAACTTTACTCCCATCAAATATGTATGTTTGGTTGTTAGTCTTTGTTTACTAATATTGAACACTTTAACTTTAATAAATTTATTTTATTATTACAACCTCTCATTTATTTTAAAAGTGGCCTCACCTATGAAAAACATGTCAGCTGTATATGCATTCTCCAATTTGCCTTGTCTCCATTATCTTTTGTGAGCACCTCTTGTATTTTTTGATTTGGTGCTATAATTTTGATTGAGAATAAATAAATTTGAAAGAAAATTATTACTTTCTTTTGTTTGGAAATTCAGAATTAGAAATAAAAGGAAAAAAATCCACCATACAGGGAGAATTTGTGTTTTCCTCTCCCAAAATGAGCTGAAAAGGGAGAGAAAACTAAAGGAATTCATTCATATAATGGTCTTTGGTTGCTTGAAGATGCAAATCATGCCTGCAAAACAATGAAGTTCATTTAATTTGGTCTTTGGTTGTTTGAAGATGCAAATCATGTCTGCAAAACAATGAAGTTCATTTAATTTGGTCTTTGGTTGTTTGAAGATGCAAATCATGTCTGCAAAACAATGAAGTTCATTTAATCCGTCATTTGGTTAGATTTTGTTTGACAAAAAATATAATTTTTAATATCTACAAAGCTCCTCAAAATTCTCTAAATGGTCATGACTTAATTTTCACACTAGAAAAGAGCGAAAATTAAATTACTACTCGCTAAAATTTTTTTTTTATTTGTTAAAAACCAAATAAGTTTCAAGTAAACTTGTACTAATACCCAATCTAATCTTGTGTCTGTTTGTATTATCTTTTTTTATTTCTTCCCTCAGTTCCCAATCAAATTTCGAGAAAACTTGTTCAATTTATAGATCTAGAATTTACGACCTTTTAAGTTTTATTTATCTATATGCAAATTAATTAATTCTGCAATGCCGCTTGCTGAGAGTTAGCTTGTTTTTTATAAACGAGTCTTTTATTCCATTTTAATCATAATTTATTTTACAGTTGTATTTTGCTTGCTATACTCCTGTTTGGAATTTTCTTGTGAGAGAGAGTATGATGAATGAATATTTGCTTGATTCTTATTTCTAACTAGGATATAAAGGTAGTTTCGAACTTACTTCTAAATAGCTTTAATATCTTTAAACTTAATTAATTAATGGTGAGGACAAGTTGATGCTTGATCTTCCTTGTATGCAGAGTTGCATACCTTGCAACTTTTGCTGATATCTCCTACTGTGAAAAAATATATAAGGGGCATTTACACATACCACACAATTCTTATGTATTTACATATCTAACGCCTAAACTTTAATATTTGAGTGTTATGAATGTAAATATCTAACTTCACGTTATAGATATGGTAAATTCATAAGAATTGTGTGGTTGTATGTTAACTTACCAGAAACAAAAAGATGCTTGGTTATGCATTATCAAAATATTTTAATGCTATATAGTAAAAGGAATGTGGATGATAGAAAGCATAATAAAAAAATTGATTGGCATAAATTTTTAGTTTAAAAATTAATGAAAGAGGGAAATTATCTTTATCCAAGTACTTAGAACTTCAATTTTCTTGGATAAAAAATCTTGCCCTCTGTTTTAATATTTCTAAATCTTAAAAAATATGGGAACCGTAGAGCACCATTTTAAAATGGAGCCGAAGAATAATGGTGTGGTTGAAGTAATAATAAAATTTAAATGTCATTTTTAAGAGAATGACATTAAAGTGATAATTAATTTACTCAGTTGATATACTTGACATTTTTATGAAATGCATGACATGAATCCTCGTATTTGCATTTAAGATTATATGCTTATAATATTGTATACAAAAAGTTGTTTTATATTTACTTTATATTTAAATATTTCCTTTAAAAGGATAAGGATTCCAACGTCCCAATTTAAAAGAACAAAGAAGATTTACATACCTCTCATTTCGTATGCACTAACATATCTAAACACCAAAACATCAAATTTTACATTAGGTTCCAACTTAATGCATGAAAATGTATATTTTATTTTTTTTAAGTTAGAATAAGTGGTATTTTTGATGTGATGTGAAAGATTTGGGTGATATAGATGTAAAAAATTAAGTTTGGGTGTTGGATTTGTAAATATAGAGGAATTGGTTGTTAGATATGTAAATATATATGTAAATGTCCCCAAAATAATAATAATATTTTATAACTTCAAATATGGGTTGTATGTGCCTAACATGTGCTAAAATCAACAATAAGAGTGACTTCAGTGACCGATTGAATTGTTACTTGACAAAATATGCGGTGCTGTTTCTCAGTTATTCAAAATGCATGTTTGCTTGATCTTGTCTTTAAACTCTTTTCTGACCCATCTTTAATTCATACCATGCTGGGTTAAGTATACTTATAATGGGTCATATATGTGCCTTGTATGCTATACCAAAGCTGATTCTAATTAGTTGGTATGAGGCTGATGAAATAATAATGATGTTATTATTTCTCTCAGCTGATGAAATAATCAGAAAGGTTGTGCCAAATAATTCCCAGTACAGTTTTACTTGTTAGTCTATTAACTGGCCTTTTTGTATATTTTTTCATGGAAAAGTCTCCAACACCAGAATTCTGATTTCTATATAATGGGGTATCATAATAGTTTGAAGGTTGGCAATGTAATGGTGCATCGCTTTATTTTTTTTCCCTTAGTAGATACGCAACTAAATTAAAGAACTCTGGGAAGATATTTTACATTTATTTCATTTGGGCTTGCTTTCATGCAAATATTGATTCTTTATGAGAGTAGATTCTACTGATATCTTAAATGTTAATTTTGTTGTTTATATTTTAATGATTGATGTTATACCATTGTTTTCTGAGAAAGTAAAAGAAGGAAAGTGAGCATTTGTTTTTTCAATTTCTGGTCTTGTTAGTGACTTGTAGCTGGGATGTTTGATTTCAGTTTGACTCCTTGTCTTCATTAGTTTTTTTTTGCTTGAAATAAGCAAAAGTCTAACTGATGATACATTGAAGCTAGCCTATGTGAGGCCCATTATATCATTTTTTTGTCCCTTGTATGTTTGACAATTTGAAGAAACTATAGAACCTAGATGCAAAGTTTTCTTTTTTTCTTTTTTGTGTGCGCAATAATAAATAAATAAAGTGTACCGAAGTGTAAATTTATACAAGAAGAATTTGATTTTGAGATCTTTGCAATAATATTTAAGATATGTATGAACAAATTATCATATATATAAGCTTTAGGATCGCTCAATTCTTATATATTTACATATCTAACACATAAACCTCAATTTTTACGTGCATGTCACTTTTCTTATGTATGAAGAAGTGTATTTCTCTATTTAAGAAATTTAAAATGGTGATATTTTTTATGTGATATGAAAGATTTTGGTGGTTTAAATGTAAATATAAAAGTTTGATGTTATATATGTAAACGCTTAGGAATTAGGTGGTATTTATGTAAATGTCTCTCTCTCTCTCTCTCTCTCTCTCTCATTGTAAAGTATTAAGAACAAGACATGTCTTCTGAACTCTTGCTTCGATGTTTTGCTCAAGTGAATTAGCTGTTGGCTTGGTCGAGCTAAGCTTTGTTTGACTTGGATGTTTTGTGGCATAGGACCGAAGCTGTTAAGTTGAAAATAATAATAATACAATTTTACTTCCAGTTACCATAAAACTTCATCTGATACAAAAATTGCCTCTTTTTGACAAAAGCTCGTTATCATCTCATAGTTAAGGAAAATGGCATCATGGATAAGCTTCTCATACATTGTAGATTTTTTTTTTAATATTT